TGGAAGTGCAAATGCAGTTCTCCAGCACGCAGAAGTACGAGGTGAGACGTTGTGGGTTTCAAATTTCTCACGCCAAGTTTGTCACAAGCACCGCTTCGCAGGGACTGACGCTGCGACAGGGCACTGTCATCGACTGCGCTCGCTTGCCCGAGCTTGACGATGACAACTGGTGGCTGCACTTGTGCGTGATGTTTTCCCGAGTCACATGCTTCGGTGATATGCTGCTTCTACGCCCTCCACCGAGAGATATGTTGGAGCGTGGCCCGCCAAAAGCCATCCAAGAACGCTTGCGGCTGCTGGAGCAGCGAGCAGCTACTTGTCGCCTAGGTGCGCTGAAGCTGCGGGAGTCTATGCGCAAACCCGCCAAGCGCAAAGCGCAGGCGGAGTGACTACGCTTGCTTTTGCTTTCTCACGAATGCCTAGCGCGTCTGATTCGCGCAGGCGCTGTTGCTGGCTATGTATAGCTTGTCATTGCTGCTTCAACTGCGCGCGATCAATCCGAAATGGAGAGACGTGCTCTTTGGAAGCAGTCCTGCTGCAAATAATGCCGACCACATGCGATTCGGATTGGATAGCTGTGTCTAGTGTTTTTTGCAGCGACAGCCAGGAACGAGAAGCAAAAATGCATGGGAATCTTTGGCACTGCTCCGCAAAGTGAGGTTTGCTTGGCGTTGTGCTTCGCATGTGTTTGCCTTGGCTCCAGTCTGGTTTGCGTCGGCAACGGATGACCCTGTTGAGACTCTGTTTTTTTGCGGCCAGTGGCTCAGTAATTATGCGCCTTGTGAGTTGTACCAGTGGCTGATAATCGCGCCCTGCTGCATTCACGCCTGTCATGGGAGGTAAGCTATGTTGCTCTGGCCTTAATGCATGTGGTTCATGAGCTCGCGATGCAGAATAGGAGTTGTGTGATTGCGTTTGCTGTGTGCTGTTTTCTCAGAACAGGATCCATTGAAGATGGTTGGTCTGTTTTGTTGCCGCAGGAAGAGTCAAGGGGCATTTGTGGCTAGCAGCTGAGAATAGGTTTGCTTGCAGCAGGAGTGTCAACCAGTATTGTTGAAATTTCTTTGCACATGGCATGTGACTTTAATTAGCAGAGTGGCTTGGGTGTCCAGCGTATTTTAGCTTCCGGCTCGGCTTCGGTGAGGAGCGCTGCGAGTGGTTGTAGGCGTGTCGGCCTTAGATGTCAATTTGTTTCTTGCAGTGCTGTTCGCATTGATATAATGTCATACTTTTCATGTTACCTATTGCTGTTTGTTACCCACATCTCCAAAATGTCGAGACTGACAGTACAGCACCCATTGGATCGCCAGGAGCTCAGAGTTTGTTTGCAGCGTAGTATTTACTTCAGCTCAATGTCCGTGCCCATGGGAGTGGCTTGGGTGTCCGGCGTATTTCAGCTTCCGGCAAGGCTTCGGTGAGGAGCGCTGCGAGTGGCTGTAGGCGCATCAGCCTTAGATGTCAATTTGTTTCTTGCAGTGCTGTTCGCATTGATATAATGTCATACTTTTCATGGTACCTATTATTGCTGTTTGTCACCCACATCTTTTTGGTCTCGAGACTGACAGTGAAGCACCTCGTTGGATCGCCAGGAGCTCGGAGTTTGTTTGCAGCGTAGTATTTACTTCAGCTCAATGTCCGTTCCCATGGTGAATGAGCTTGTCGCAGTGAGTTTCCTCGCTGTCTCGCAACAAAGCTTCAAGTATGAATTTGTTGAGGAGAACGGCTAGCGAAACCCGGATGGCCAGGGCCTCATTTCAGCACGCGTGTGAGCAACAACTGCCTGCGGAAGTGTTCTATGCTGTGCTACAGTTATGTACTGCTGTTGCTTGCGTTGCTGGCTGCGCTGTTTGTTTGTGTCTAGCGCTCTTTGTGTTGCTCGAAGCAGTCTGGCCGATGGAACTCAGCATGCAAGTCACATTCATGTGTTTCTGGTAGCTGTTGTTTCAACATAGCTCACAGACTGCAGCAGAAGGGTTAGCTCACTGTCCTGTCTTTGTTTGCCGCCGCCTTGTAGAACCCGGGCATTCGCAGCAATGAGTGCTGCAGATTTGCAGGCAGCGGGCTTGGAGGCTTCCGTTGTCGGCTTGAAGATTTTAGGAGCCACATCTTGGTGGCCAACTGTCAAGTCCAATCCATCGAAAGACAAGATGGCCCAAAAGTACACAGTCGTACTGGAGCTGGCCAATGGCGAGGTGTTCGTCGACACAATTGAGTGGCGCGCTTGAGGCGCAGGGCGCAACGCGTATTTTTTTCAAAAGCTGCGTCTTGTGCTGAAGATGTTCGTGGACGATGAGTCTAGGTGGAAGACGCACACAGCTGAGGCACAGGGACTTGCCACTTGGGCGTCGAAGCTGCCAGAGCATCTGCCTGCTTTTTTTGGAAGGTTTATTGTCCAAGCAGAGTGCCACGACTGCAAGGTGCATCGGGCTGACACACTGCTTGTTGGACGAGGTGGACCAAATCTCACATCAGTGCTTCAACAGCTGAGTCAGCGCTATGAAATGCAGACAGAAGCTGCAGACTTGAAGCAGGAAGTGGAGAAGTATTTTGTGCGGTTCTTGCATGCTTGTGAGCATGCACATCGGAAGGGCTTGGCTTATGAGCAGGACCTGCACTCTGACAACGTTTGTCTGCACGAAGTGACCAATGAGTGGCTGCTTGTGGACTTGGAGGAATTTGCTTCTGTTCAGCAGACTTTTCGCAGAGCGATGCAGGTGGTCGCGAAGAAGCAATCCAACCAAAAGTTCGTGCACCCTGCTTTTGTCATCTGGAAGGAATGTTTGCAGACGCATATCCTTTCAAAGGACATTTATGCAGAGGTCAGCGCAGATGCCATCCAGCACGAGATTGGCGACTTGACTCCGCAGACTCTGGGTCACGCGGTCGCAGCGGAGGACGGGTTTGTTTTGCGCGCGGCATAAATATTGTAATTGTGCTGCGGTGTGCATGGCATCACGTGGCACAGGACTCTTTCGTCGCGCAGCCGAATGCGCCCGCCGGAGCTACCGACCCGCATTGGGGAGGAGCTTCGGGAGGTGCTGCCCCGGCGCGCTCTGCAGAGACCGGCCCCAGTCCGCAAGTCGAGCCAGATGCACCCGCCGGAGCGACCGACCCGCATTGGGAAGCAGCTCCAGGTGGCGCTGGCTCGGCGCGCAACGCGCGCAGTGGCTACGCAGTGCAGGACCAGTTTGTGCACAACTTGCACAACTTTTCGCTTGTTTTTGTCGCAGGAGCCCACCGAGCATGACGCGCGCCCAACTAGTTCGACGGCGGCAGCTCTTCAGGCAATTTCAGCGAAGCCACATGTTTTTGGTGATCATGTTTGGATGGTTTCGCGTTCTTGCAGGCGCCAGACAAGCGCCGTCGACTGCATCTGGGTCGTTTCTATAAGCCTTTGCGGAAGGACAGCTGCATGTTTGTGACTTGTGTGCATTTGCTTGTGTTTCGCGTGTCTTATTGTAGGAGCCAGGTGACGCTTCCGTCGACCAGCCGGAGGCGCGCTGAAACTCAGACCTTTCACACACGTCAATCTGATTCTCGCCAGGAGCAAGACGACGAGCTGCCTTCATCCTTGTTGGCTTCTGCAGAAGATGAAGTAATAGGGCACTACACACTGCCTTGGGCTATGTTTGTGACCATGTGGCCAGGGTACGACTCCGTTCGGCAGCTGCTCACCAGCTCGGAGGAAGTTGTGCTGTCAGTCTTTTCAGGCAACTGTGATCTCAATTGCCCGAACGGCGGCTTGACGCTAAAGGCAGCAGCTGTCTGCTCTTGCCCTGCCAGAAAGCAAGCGCCTGCCCGAGTGCTGGCCACGCAAACTTTGCTCGAGGAGGAGTCGTGCCCTGCTCATCCCGCTGAGTTTTGCTTGCAAGACGCTGATCGCTTGACCGAGGACTGCTACCAACTGATGGCCAGCGACTGGCGCAACCACGTGCTGCGAGCACGGCTGGAAGCAGAGTTCAATGTGGACTTGCCCCTGCGGCCGGCATCAAAATTGCCATACTTCAATGTATTCCAAGACCACCATGGCCGCACTTTCGCGTACAAGCCCAGCGCAGGAAGCCTGTCTCGGGACGAGCACATGAAAGGCCCGAGTGCTTGGCAAACGGGTGTGAATTTGGAACAAAGAGATTTTCACGCGAGCTTCTGGATCTTAGCACTGCTATGGGAGCGATTGCGGCAGCAGTTTTACGAGCTCAAAGGCCGTGATCCAGAGGGAAGCGATAAGGGCGTCGCCAGCAACTACGAGAGATTTGCCCACAACTACATGAGACGGCTTCGACTATCTGACCTGCAGCACTTGGAGCCACTGACTGACGACCGGCGACACGTGAAAGATCCCCCGCTGCTCACAAAGCAGCTTCGCAAGTTCGTCGATCAGCAGATGGAGCTCAATCGCAACGAAAATGTCTTTCAATTCAAGTCGTTGCACGCATTTGATGTGGACGTCTTGAGGCTGTGCGTGGAAACGGCGCAGGCAGCTGTGTTTGTGCTGCCCGATGTGTCGTTTTTGGCATTGCTGTCTGGCACGTAGCGACAGGGCAGGCACAGCGCCGCTCGACCCGTATTGGGAAGAGTGGCATGGCCTTCAGCCACGTAGAATTCTGAGTCAAGAACGCTGCGCCTGTCACATGTTATGTGCGAGTCTGCGAGTCTTAGTACCTTGAAAGGCTGAAACGCCTGCGCGGGCGGCTAGTTGCGTGAAAAAAATGACGCAAGCAAACGCATGTCCGCACGTTGTGTTGCCGCTGCTTCAACTTCTGGAACCGCTGACAGAATTGGATCCATTCCATCATTGTAGACATGCCTGCCAAGGACACTCGCATATACGATTTTGCTTGTGCCCTTCGAGAAGCGAGATACGCTGAGTTCGACCAGGCGGCACTGGCGGGGACGGGTGGGTGAGTATTATGGATATATGCTTACTTGTCTGTCACGCACTGTTGCATTTGCAGGCTTCTCGGAGCTTTGGGTCTTTGCCTTTGGAGCAGAGTGAAGCCATGCAGTTGGCCAGCGCCTGGAGCCAGGGTAAGATGACTGATGCGAACTCTCGGCTCTTTCAACAAACCATTCGAGGTAGGGTGTTCAATGTCTTCGCAGCCACCAGCGACGACTTGCATATGCAGATGTTGAACGCAGCCCTGTATCGACTTCAGCCCACACGCTTGCAGGAGATCTTGCAAGAGGAGCCGCATGAAGTGAATCCATTGCGCACTCGAGAGGATGTTGCATTGGCCTGTCACCCTGAAACCATGAAGTGGCCATTGCGGGTGGTGTTGTACGCTCGGCTGAGCGCGGAAGCTGCATCGGAGCAATCGAGGCTAGTGGCGGAGGCTCTGAGCTATGTGCGCGAGTGGGAAGATCAGCTTGTGCACGCTGTCTACTTCTCCACTAGCAACTGGCTGGATCGTCAGAAGTCTTTCTTGCAGCTGCTTCTCAAGGAAAGCGCCTGAGCCGGCGGTGATTTGTCTTTTGCTTAGACGATGTAGCGACCGACCCGCAATGGGAAGCTCGCGAAGCCACATAGCAATCAACCCGAATGGGAAGCTGGCAAGGCAATTGTCTAACTGTCTCGCACGAGGCTAGAGCCGTGAGCAATGCTTGGCTGTCATCAAAACATGACAGCGGCGCATTGCCATTGCCTTTTTTGTTCGCTCGACAGCTGCGTCGTCAGGCAGTGTTGTTGCTTTCTCGGTGCGTATGTGACCTTGCCTGTCGCAGCCTGCAAGAGAACGGGTCCGTCGTGTCAGGCGACTCGTGGGTTTGCTATCCACTGTCAGGGCCTTAGTTCGCGTGGTTTAGTACCTTCTTGCACACAGCCATTGTCTGAAAAGCAACCGACCGGCTTGCGCATCGTGGGGCAGTCTTGCTTTCTCGCTGCGTGTAACTCTGTCTGTCGCAGCCATCAAGAGAACGGGGCGGCCATGTCAGGCGATTTGCCTCTCTGCTTTTCACTGTCAGGGCCTTAGTTCGCGTGGCTTTGTGCCTTCTTGCCTGACAGCCGCTTTCTGAGCAGCAACCGATCGGCTAGCGCGTCGTCAGGCAGTGTTGTCAGGGCCTCATTTCACGTGGATTGGTGTTTTCTTGCATACAGCCACTGTCTGAACAGCAACCGACCGGCTTTCACGTCGTCAGGCAGTTTGGCTTTCTCGCTGCATGTAACTCCGCTCGTCGCAGACTGCAAGAGCACGGAACGGCCATGTCAGGCGATTTGTCGCCTTGCTATTATTCACTGTCGGGGCCTCAGTTCGCGTGGTTTAGTGCCTTCTTGCCTTATAGCCATTTTCTGAACAGCAACCGACCGGCTTGTGCAGCGTCAGGCAGTGTTGCTTTCTCGCTGCATGTAACCTTGCTTGTCGCGGACTGCCAGAGGACGGGGCGGCCATGTCCAGCGATTCGGCTGTGCTACCCACTGTCAGGGCCTCAGTTTTCGTGGTTTAGTGCCTTCTTGCCTTCTTCCCTCCTTTCCCAACATTTCATAGCTTGCATCGTGCAAGAAGTGTTTGGCTCACGTCATTTGTTTGCATTATGCTTCAAAAGAGATTCGGCAAGCAGCAGTCACAGCCTGATCTGCCTGACACGTATTGTTTGGACACTGTTGTGGAAGATTGAGGCTGACTGTACCTCATCTGCTGTATGTCTGCTTAGCTTTGCTCTTCTAGGCATCGCCAGACATGTTGACTTCAACGCGCCTCGACCTCGGGGACAGCGTTCAGAGGAGAGTTGCTTTGGTTTGTCGTTGGCTCATCATTCTCACGCAACACAAGTTCATCGCTTGTTCCGCAGAGTTTTCAGGTGCTTTTGTAACACCCAAGCATTTGTCATTGCGCAATGGCGAACCAGCAAGCTTTCATCCAACCGCAGCAGAGCTGCCTCGAGTATTACGTGGCCTTGTTGCCACAGGCTCGTTTTGAGGCTTTAAGTGTTTTCACTCACCTTTTGCTCTGTGCCGTTGTTTGTCGGGCTGGGCAGGTGGTTGGCTTCACCCCGGAGACTCAAGTGTCGCGCGCCTTCCAGCCCGGCGCCGGCGATCACTTTAGCTTGCGAGGCACGGCCGAAGGAGCTCGCGAGAGGTACTTTTGGTGGCAGGACGGCGCGATGCAACTTGGCACATTGCGGAAAAAAACGCAAGTTTTGGAAGTACTGGCCACTTCAAGCTGTTGCTTTTTTCTTCGTAGCTCTTTGCGGACTTGCTTTCAGGCCTGACCCATCTATGTGGAAGCTTACTTTCACGCCGAAGGGCCGCGAGAAGTTTGTCCAATGTGGGTGGCTTCGCGAGTTGGCGCGCACAGATGTCGCAGACCCAGCCCAGCGCTGGGCGCGCCTGTATGTGCCGCTGCAGTTCGGCGAGATCGTGGAAACCGGGGAGGTGCTGTACACGTTCGAGCAGATGAGCTGATAGCTCTTTTTTTGAAAGCTTCGCGACCCGCATTGGGAAGCCGAAGCGATGCCGTGCTAAGGCCACTGCGCAATTGAAGCCAGTGACATCGAACGGTTCTTTGGAAAGGCATTGAGCATGCTCGCTGTGTAATTTCCCTGCTGCTCACATGGAAATTCCGAGCAGCGCGCAATTTATGTCTTTTGTCTCTGATGCACAGCTCCTGCTGCAAGGCGATTCGCGTCTCCATTGCCGAGGCCACAGCAGTCTGTTGCCACTGCCCTTTGCTCTTGATCCATTTGCTGCCAGCACATGATGGCCATTGACCGGACTCTGCCTCCACGCAGCATGTGTTGCAACCTCAGCGGCTGCTTGATTTCTATCTCTTTTTTTGTCTGAGCACCATTTAAAAGCAATCAACAGTTTGTTAAAGTTTTTGGCAGACTTTTCCCTACACCGCAGGTGAGCTTCTCCATGTAGTAGGACAACAACCCGAGGCGCTTTTAAACCTTGGCACAGAACTGCTTCAGCCCTTCTCAGCCTGGCGCCCAGGAGCATTTCATCTCGACTGCTTGCTAAAGGACTTCGCCGAGGCCACAGCAATCTGTTGCCACTGCCCTTTTGCTTGGAGCCATTTGCTGGCAGGCATGCGATGGCCATTGACTCGGACCTGCTGACTTGCGCGTGTCTCGACCTCAGCGACAATTTGAGTTTTGACTGAACACCATGTAGCCGAAGAACATGCCGAGGCGCCTTGGGACCTTGGCACAAAGCTGCTTTCAGTCATTCTTAGCCTAGCGCCCAGGATCACTTCTCCATTGACTGCTTACTACTTTACTTCGCCGTGGCCGCAGCAGTCTGTTGCCATTGCCCTTTGGACTCAAGCCATTTGCTGCAAGGCATGCGATGGCGACTGACCCACAGGCTGTCTGTGTCTGGCGCATCGCAGATCCACGTGGATCGCAGAGCGCCGAGTGATCCACATGTTTTCTCAAGACTTCTCGGAGCTTGTGCCGCTTGGTTGTCGTGTTTGCTGTGCATGTGTGACTTAGCAACGATTTCAAGCAGCTCGAACAGGAAGCCCACTCACGAAGACCGCGCGATGTCGCTGTTGCTGAAGCCTTCGGAGTATGGTGGGCTCAAAGGCACGGCAGTCGCTGGCCGGGTCGTCATTATGGTGGAGCAGGAAGTGAAGAGCAAAGCTGCTTCCGCCGCGGCGGCCACGCCTTCCAAGCGGAAAGGCAAGAAGTCCTCGAAAGCAAGCTCGCAGCCGCCATCTTCCACGAAGTTGGAGATGCACATCGCAGGCGCAGACTCAGTGAATGAGGTGGTGTATGTGGAGGCTTGGGGAGAGCAAGCTACTCAACTCGGCCTGCGCTGCAAGGTGGGAGACTTGATCGCCCTCACGGGCGCGACCGTGATCTCCACTGCGCAGATGTACTCCACTTCTAGGCTACCTTGCCACCTTCGCGTCAAAGGCATTGTGGGTACGCAGGTGTTGGTCCAAAAGTTGGAGAGCTTGCCCTGGAGCGGCGTCCCTGCTCATCATCCTTTGGTGCCACTGCAGTCGCTGGCTCGCGTGAAAGACCGACAGCAGATCTGTGTGGCCGCGCAAGTGGACGACAACCCGGGCGCGATCGAGAGGGACACCGTCCAAGGCCGCGTTCTGGTCTGCAATGCCATCGTGCAGCAGAATGGCGTTCGAGTGCGGTGCGCTTTCTGGAGGGAGCACGCTGAAAAGCTCGCGACCTGCCAGGCTGGAACCTGCATCCTGCTCTACCAAGTGTTGGTGGAGAAGAAAAAGGAAGGATCATGGGAGATTGGCAGCTGGCGAGGCACTCAAATTCTGGAGTGCCCTGAAGAGCTTGCCAAGAACATTGGAGAGCACATCATGGAGCATGCTCACTCTCATTCCGACCAGGAATTGGAAGGAATGCGAGGCAGTGCAGAGCACATTGAGCGCGCTCGTGGGCACGATTGTCCCCGGGCAGTTGCGGAAGGTGGACACTGTGTTCCTCGTCTCCGGACTGCAGATCATGGGCTTGAGCTCGGTCAGGTCCGAAACGGACGAGTGGATCTTGTCCAGCTGCAGCACGTGCAAGAGAGCTTTCCCTTGCCAGGCACGCAGAAATTCAATCGCATTTTTCCAAGGATGTTCTGATTAATGTCATTCAGCATGAAAACTTAAATCTGTCAAGCTTTTGTGCAGGCACATCCAGATGCTGCTGAAGAGAAGCGCGTGGCCCTGCGCGCTGTGTTCGCGGATAGCGACTGCCAGTGCAGCATGGTGCTCTACCACGACCACGTCGAGTTGGCCTTGCAGGAGCAGGGTTACTCGCTGCCGAGCCCTTGCAAAGACACTGCAGAGCTGCGGTCCGAAGTGCGAAACGCATTCCGGAGCGCACTGTGGACTTGCAAAGTCACCTTTCGGGAGAACGACTACCAGCAGATCCTGGAGTTGGAGTGTCGCCATCTGACGCCTTTCCTGCCCTTCAACAAGGACTGCCCGGACCTGACGCCCCACATGCTGGAGCTTCCACGCTGCTCTCTGGGCGGCGGCTGCCCGGTTGCTGCTTTGCGCGACTTACGCGTGGACACAGACTTGGGCTCTTTGACGATTCAGGAGATCGACGCTCCGTCTGTGCGAGCGCTCGTCGTGTTCAACGAAGTCCAGCTGCCAGATGATGAGTCTCTGCAGCAAGACCCGCAATCTGCATCGGCCATGCGAGTCAAGCGCTCGGTGGACTGCTGCTTGTCAGTGCCCGACGCTGAAACCCTCTTGCCTTTCCGGAGCAAGCAGGCCCTGCGTCTGCAGTGAATTGGATCCTCCGAGCACGGCCAGGTGAAGTCCACCAAGTGGTCATCATGCAAGCCGACGCGGAGAATGAGTGGTCTGTCCTCTGGCACGTGGAGGTTCACGAGAAGGCGGCGCCGGCTGTCAACGCGTACTACTCTCACATCATCTCCAAGCAGACGGCGGCTGCTGCTCTGAGCTATGCCAGTGAGTGGACTCCCGGTAAGCGAGTGCGCACGCTGCGAGACAGCATGCCAACCCCTTTTAAGACTAGCTCTGCTTGGCAAGACCAGTGCTAGAGCAGGCATGAAACAATGTTCGACACTAGCTGCTGTGATTGCATTTTTGGGCGCCGCGCAACTCGGAATGAGAAGAATGACGCAGCTATCACAGCGAAATGTTGTCCGAATCCTTTGAAGCGTGGCTCTGCTTGGCAAAACCAGTAGCTAACCTTGAAGCAATATGTTGGCCGTTAGCTGCTGCAAATAGCATGTTGAGCCACGCATCGAGATTCTTCAGTTTGAGCCACGCAACTCGGATTGAGAAGTTTACCGAGCTTGTTCAGTGTCGTCATTACGCAGCTGGCGAAAAACAGACGCGGCGCGTCCGCACGAAGCATTGCTGCCGGGACTGACAGTCAGTGTGGCATGAGCTGCGCCCGAGCCAAGGTCAGCGCAGCAAGAAAGACAAAAAAGGTTCGCGCAATTGTTTGCGCGATGTTCATGAGCCCTGCCACAAGCTTGCAGCACAACCACTTGCGCACGGCTCAAGCTTCTTGGGGTTGTCTCCAACTGCCTTGTTGTTTCACAGCCATGAGTTTGAACATCCAAGGCCAGCCATGGGGCATCTTCTTCAAGTTGGATAAGCTGCTCCACGGCTGCCCTGCCAAGCCCTCGGCGCTGCTGATGGATTCACAATGTAGGCGGAGCGGTCCGCGTTCTGTCGACATTCCCGCAGCGCGCACCTTCATTGGAACCTTTCAGGAAGGCAGGCCCTGCAGGTTCCCCGCGGAGAAGCCTTGAGATGGACATCTGACTGAAAAAGCTTGACTTCATCGTCCAACGGATACCACAGTGCTATTTCTCTTTGGGAAAGTGTCCAGATCTTCTCCGATGCTGAGCTGCAAGATGACCTCCTGAGATGCACGTGCGGCGCAGCCAATAATCTAACAAGATGGACTAAGTTCGAGAATGTCTCGAACTTGCTTTGTTTTGTTGATTAGCGGCTCGGGCTGCAGTAGGTTAGCAACGCCTGCGATGAAAAAAGCGCGCTAGACCTGCTCTGTAATCGCATCCATACAAGGGGCGCACGGTACATGTGTGTGGACATTTGAACTCACATCCTTGGGAAAAACATAGCATGTGGGGTTATCCGGTCCTTTAATGTTCAATTAAGCGAAAGATATAAAGACGCGATGGAAGAATTCAAAAACAATCCGGATATAACGAGACTCGTTGGCCATTCCCTTGGCTCATCCGTTGCTCAGGAAATCGACAACAGACACGGAAACAAATATGCGACTACTGTTTATGCGTCGCCTTTTGTATCAGGAAATAATCAGCAGAAGAACCAAAGATACTTACGGTTCAAGAACAAGAACGACCCAGTAGCAATATTAGATGATGCCGCGATTACTGCTGACATTGGTTCAATAAACCCATTGGAAACCACGCTTATCAGAATTGGGAAGGACAGGGTCTGACTGAAATCAATCCTACCACGGACATTTCTATTGGTTTCAATCCAAATGACGTAAAAAGCATATCTAAAAATGCAATTGATGCTGATGTATATATCGGTGCTACATGTCAACCGTTATCAAAGACAATGGCAAAACATAGGACAAACATGAATGATGCATGTAAAACACACAGCCGACTTTCTGAGAAAATTGCACTAGTTGGCGTTGAGAACCTTTACATTGAGTTAGTGAAAGAAACTCCATGTGAAAATGCAGAGCAGTTAAGAGCAATTGAAGGAGAACATATAAGACAATTGGGAACTTTGAACAAGAAAATAGAAGGACGAACTCAACTTGAAAATAGGCATGATACAAAGGCAGAATACGATAAAGTGTATCGTCAAGAAAACAAGGACAAAATACAAACTATACAAGCAGAATACTGTGTAAAACGTAAGGATAAGTTAAATAAAACACGAAGGCAAAATATAATGAAATCAAGCATGTAAAGCTAAATTGTGAGGTATGTGGAGTAGAACTTCTGCCCAAAAATCACAAGAAGCATTTGACAAGTAAACAGCCATGGAACAACTTTAAACATTCTTAATATTATTTCTATGTATTGTTAATATGTAGAAAACAAAGATATTAGAAACACAATTCCATTAGATAAGAAACTGACAAAAGAACCCACAAAATACGATAAACAATATAAGAATTTAGACTATGATACTATAAAAGATATAGTAGAAACAAAAAATAATAATGCTTCCACATAAGAAAACTACAAAAAACAAAATATCATCTAAGTTTATCATATATAAGGAATGGATAATATGATTGCAGAATCAGAAACTACTATGATTAACTCATTAAATTTTGGACTTCCTGAAGCAGCACAATATACCACAGACCGCCGACATGTAAATTACTTTCCATCCAGCAGTAACGTTTAAATTCCAATTGCGGGAAACAAAAATATCAGATTTCATATTTCAGGAGAAGACAACACTTACATTGATTTACCTTCTATTAGGTTATTTGCTAATCTTCAAAACACTGACGGAACACGCAGCCACTTTTTACGACCATTAGGTAATCCGCCGACCCTTTCTCTAAAAAGGGGAGGCGCGCGGGAAGGGTGGTTGGCGCATAGGTATAACCAAAGTTTATCCTCATCAGCATCATCAGCTACGATGATTGTTATCCTCACAGTCATGGTCATCATCATCATCCTTATCATCATCTCTTTCTTATTCTCTTATCCTTATCATCATTATCGGCATGGTCATCATCATCTCTTATTCGGCAGCGTTGCTGATGCAGAAGATGTCAGGATGATAGTTATCATCACAGCCGTTAGTGATGCCAAGGATGCTACGATGATAGTTATCATCCTTGTCAAAGGATGCCATGATGATACTTATCAAGGAACAAGCAGTGATGCAGAGGATGTTGTGATGATAGTTGTCATGACGCGAATGATAACGATCATCACGCCCGCGCGTGCCATTATCCTCATGGTCATCACGCCCGTGCCATTATCATCACGGTCGTCGTCATCTCTTATCAAGCAGCATTGGTGATGCAGAGGATGCTGCGATGATAGTTATCATCACAGCCGTTAGTGATGCCAAGGATGCTACGATGATAGTTATCATCCTGGTCATCATCTTTATCATCATCTGATCCTCACCTAGCATCATCTAATATCTTACTAAAATATATGTGAAAATCAAAAGGGACGTTAGGCATCCTTTGCAATGCAAAGGATGCGATGATGATAGTTGTCAAGGAACAAGTAGAGATGCAGAGGGTGTTGTGATGATAGTTGTCATGACACGGATGATAACGATCATCACGCCCGTGCCATTATCATCATGGTCGTCGTCATCTCTTATCACGCAGCGTTGGTGATGCAGAGGATGCTGCGATGATAGTTATCGTCACAGCCGTTAGTGATGCTAAGCATGCTACGATGATAGTTATCATCCTTGTCATCATCTTTATCATCATCTGATCATCACCTGGCATCATCTATAATCTTGTTTTAAATAGAATTCAATAGGGACGTTAGACATCCTTGGCAATGCAAAGGATGCGATGATGATACTTATCAAGGAACAAGTAGAGATGCAGAGGATGTTGTGATGATAGTTGTCATGGCGCGGATGATAACGATCATCACGCCCGTGCCGTTATCATCATGGTCGTCGTCATCTCTTATCACGCATCATTGGTGACGCAGAGGATGCTGCGATGATAGTTATCATCACAGCCGTTAGTGATGCCAAGGATGCTACGATGATAGGGGGCATCCTTGTCATCATCTTTATCATCATCTGATCATCACTTGGGGTCATCTAATATCTTATTATATATATAGAAATCAAAAGGGACGTTAGACATCCTTGGCAATGCAGAGGATGCGATGATGATAGTTACCAAGGAACACGTCGAGATGCAGAGGATGTTGTGATGATAGCTGTCATGACGCGGATGATAACGATCATCGCCCGTGCCATTATCATCACGGTCGTCGCCCTATCAGGCAGCATTGGTGATGCAGAGGATGCTACAATGATAGCTATCATCACAGCCGTTTGTAATGCTAAGGATGCTACGATGATAGTTATCATCCTTGTCATCATCCTTTTCATCATCTGATTATCACCTAGCACGTGCCATTATCATCATGGTCGTCGTCACGCTGCATTGGTGATGCAGAGGATGTTGCGATGATAGTTATCATCTCAGCCGTTAGTGATGCCAAGGATGCTAGGATGATAGTTGTCATCCTTGTCATCATCTTTATCACCATCTGATCATCACCTGGCATCATCTACTCTCTTATTACATATGAAAATCAAAAGGGACGTTAGACATCCTTGGCAATGCAAAGGATGCGATGATGACACTTATCAAGGAACAAGTAGAGATGCAGAGGATGTTGTGATGATAGTTGTCATGACACGGATGATAACGATCATCACGCCCGTGCCATTATCATCATGGTCGTCGTCGTCTCTTATCACGCAGCATTGGTGATTCAGAGGATGCTGCGATGAAAGTTATCATCACAGCCGTTTGTGATGCTAAGGATGCTACGATGATAGTTGTCATCCTTGTCATCATCTTTATTATCATCTGATCATCACCTGGCATCATCTAATATCGTATTTTGTAGAGAAATCAAAAGGGACGTTAGACATCCTTGGCAATGCAAAGGATGCGATGATGATACTTATCAAGGAACAAGTAGAGATGCAGAGGATGTTGTGATGATAGTTGTCATGACGCGGATGATAACGATCATCACGCCCGTGCCATTATCATCATGGTC